CTCTCCGGTGGTGAAGCATTCTTCGATTCGGATTCTGCTAGCTTTGGTGGCACAGTATGGATTAGAGTTAGATCAGTTGGATGTGAAGACGGCATTTCTTCATGATGATCTTGATGAAGAAATATATATGACTCAGCCATTGGGATTCCGAGCTGCAGGGAAAGATAAGTTGGTTTGCAGGTTAAAGAAATCGCTATACGGTTTGAAGCAGTCTCCTCGATAATGGTATAAGCGATTTGATGGTTTTATGCTTGGTCATTCGTACACTCGGAGCTAGTTTGATCATTGCGTGTATTTTCGCAAGTTGAGATGAGGTGTGTACATCTATTTGTTACTTTATGTCGATGAAATGTTGGTTGCCTCTACTTCCAGGTCGGCTATAGATGAGTTGAAAGTTCAGCTTTCAAATGAGTTTGAGATGAAGGACTTGGGTGAGGCTAAACGCATTTTGGTAATGGAGATCGACAGAGACAAGAAGAACGGCAAAATTTGTTTGACACGGGTGGCTTATTGAAAGAAGGTTCTACAGCGATTTTATGTTAGCATGGATACGAAGCCAGTTAGTGTACCATTGGGAGCCCATTTGAAGCTTTCAGCTGGTCTTTCACCGAAATCAGTTGAAGATCGAGTGTTGATGTCGAAGACTCCATATGCGAGTGCGGTTGGGAGCTTGATGTATGCGATGGTATGTACGATGCCGGATTTGTCACAAGCGGTGAGCATGGTTTCGAGATACATGCACGATCCAGGAGTGGGTCATTGGGACGCCGTGAGATGGATTTTGAGGTACATTCGAGGTACGCTCAATGTTGGTTTGATTTATGAGCGGGACACTACAGATGGGCAGTTGTACATTGGATATATGGATTCGGATTATGCCAGGGATTTGGATAAGCGTCGGTCTACTACGGGGTATGTGTTTACTTTGACCCGTGAGCCGGTGTGTTGGAGATGCACCTTACAGTCTACGGTGGCTTTGTCTACGACGGAGGCAGAGTATATGGTGGTTACGGAAGCTGTGAAGGAGGCTATTTGGCTTCGAGGACTGTTGGAGGAACTTGGTATATCGAAGCGGTCCGTCACCATTCATTATGATAGCATGAGTGCTATCTATTTGGTGAAAAATCAGGTTTTTCATGCGAGGACGAAGCACATTGACATTCGTTATCACTTCGTTCGGGATGTTCTTGAAGATGGCGATGTGGAGATTGTGAAAGTCCACACGAAGGATAATCCGGCGGATATGCTCACTAAGGTGGTTCCGAGTAACAAGTTTGATCATTGTTGAAACTTGTTGCACATTCGAGATTGTTGAGGTCGTTGACGACCATTTGGATGAACTACGAACGGCTTGATCCCTTGGGAGAGGGGGTACGTAGGCAACCACATTGGTACAGCCAAGTTTAGAGAGACGACGCATTGGTGCTCATGTTGGTGTCGGCTCAGTATTGGGAACACTTCGCCGAGGTGGAGAATTGTGAAAACGGCGAAGGAATTGTGAAAATCATGAAGAAAAACCCAAAACAGACTCCACCACACCCTGGTGTGGTGTCTGCCATGGGTGTGGCAGAATCTGCCCTGTTTACCATGGGTGTGGTGTGTGCCACACCCTGGTGTGGCAGAATCTGCCCTGTTTGCCATGGGTGTGGTGTGTGTCACACCAGGGTGTGGCAGACTCGTTTTTAGAATCCTAATCTATTTGGGATTGAGTTTTGTTATAAATAGAACCATGTTTTTTTGGGTTTCTTAAGGAGAGAAAAGGAGAGAATTAGCATTGTTTTGAGCACTTTGAGAGGGAGATATTGTGAGGGAGTTGAGAGCTTTGGTTAGGGTTATATTTGAGTGATTTTGTGAGTTGTAACCCATTGTATTTCTCCTCCATATATATAGTGAAATCTCCCCATCCTCTCCCCGTGGACGTAGGCAATTGCCGAACCACGTAAATTCCTGTGTTTGTGTGTGATTTTGGTCGTTATTTTGTGAATTACACTCGTGTTTGGTTTTGGTTTTCTTCTCTCATCGCTCACCGACTCGTTTGGTTGTCGAGCACGCTTCCGCACGGCGTGCGACATATACGCACACGCTCCAAACTAAGCACATGCAAACCTATCTCTCAAGGGTTGGACAGGAGACACATCATGCTCTTTCTGTCAGTCTACAGCGAAAATAGGCTCCCACCTATTCTGGGAGTGTAACTTTGCCAAAGAAGCCTGAAAACCCATATTGCTGAAGCTGTGTTTGAATATCAGCAACCTAGACTTTGACAACATTCTTCACTCCCATGGCTCCATTGTCTCTAACACACAAAATCGACGGCTGTAGCTTAGACTCCTCCATGTCTTCTGCTGGTGTCTTTGAAGAGCTCGTAATGAACTGATTTTTAGACAAATTCCTATCTCTTTTCAACAGTTAACAGCTAATGTCACGTTCTTCGCTATGTTCTGGTCATGTAACATAGTAAGGAAGAAGGCATGCCAAGTTCACGTGGCAACCAATCATCTTGGGCTACAAGATCTTCACAGAGCAGTATCCGATATGGTGGGAGATAACTTCTGAGGAGTACTTCGTCATATGGGTTTTTGTTTGTAAATATAACTTATTTGCTGATACTTCTAAACTTTAATTCTTCATGTTTTAGTTTAGTTTATAGTTTAATCGGTGGAGAAAGAGATGGACAAGTCTACTCTTAGTTTTTTTTGTATATATACTTCTTAATTAACAGGTTGACTTGCGAGGATTGGCTCACTCTCGATTCAAATTTCAAATGACATCAAAGGACCTCTCTTTGATCTTGGCAGGAGTGAGCCCTCCTCCTAAGTCGTGGCAATATACTTATCCTTCTTCTAATATATATACCTTTTGAATAGGGCGTTTTGCCCTATTTTTGTGTCAAAAAAATTGGACATCTCTTTGCTGATCTATGAGCATGACATTGTTACAATTTTTAGGACTAGGTAAAAATGAATTTGTCAAAAAGTAACAAAGCAGCGTCAGAAATTCTCAATAAGTAGTATAAACTCCAACCAGCTGCTAGCTAGATGAATATTGTCGAAGACTCCCAATCACTTTTATGCAATCCGAATCAACTTCGGGATTTCTCTTACCTCGCTGCTTTGCTCATATCAACCCGCGTACTACAACTCGATCTCGTCGCAGCTGTACCTGATGGTGTCATATTTTCCCGCCCAATAGCTGCTCTTACCACCTGACCATTACCGTCTTTGATCACTAACTCCTGAACTAACTTTCTTCTATTCCGTACTAATCGTTGCATCAGTATTGAGCTTCAACCATAATCGATCAATGGTTTTATTAACATATAGACGGTGTTTCTTGTTGAACTTTTCACACGATGGGCTTTCCTAAAATAGATTATATTATAGGATTTGGATCCTCTCCATTATCTAAAAAGTAGTGGATGTACCACTACATAATCACAGCCATTAGTTATCTAGTTGTTGGTTGTGATTTTTTCTTTTGAGTGCAAATTAAGAATGTGTGCAATACACGAGGCTATAGTGAGTGTTAGATTTAGATTGTATCATAACCGCCTACTAAGTAATCAACGATTGAGATTAAAAGTAGTGGTCTCTCCACTATTTTTTTGTAATCAATCTTTGATTATGGTTGATGGTTTTATTAACATATAGGCGGTGTTTTTCAGGACAATATAAAGTTTTATCAAATTATAATCAATCTTTGATAATTGTTTCTTGTAATTTTCCTTCTTAAAATAAGGCCATAGATTTCACACGAAATCTTAAAAATTCTACCAATATTTGGAACTATTTGACAACTTAGAGGTAAACAAGAAATAAAAAAGCTTGGCTGTGAATAAGTCTAGCCGAAGTTATTTCAGAGTTTCAAAGTCTAATTTAGATCTTCTTAATTGTAAGCAGACATTATTGAAGAGATTGTTTTTTTCTCGGTCACAGTCGTCTGTTTTGTCTAAAATAGTTATGATTCATTTAAAATATAACTATAATGTGAAATATATTTTAATTAAGAAATTTTATTTTTTATTTCTACTTGCAACACAAGCTCAAAAATTGTAGAAAAACAGTGTTTGAAACATCATGACTTAGTTTCTCAACAAGGAAATGTCTCTCAAACTGCATTGAATAACATATTAAATCGTCATCCTCAATTCTCACCAAAGCTCTGAGAGGTTTGATGCCGCAAGATGTTTGATTGCATGTCATTATAATTCTATAGTATAAAAGAAAATAACTTATTTAATGAAAAGTTACTATTTCATTCAAATTAAAGGGTATTCGTAGAAATAAAACTTAAGAGCATGTTTGGGAACTATGAATTAATCCATTTGTGGATTATGAGCTAAAATATTCGCTAAATTTAGTAGATTATAATCTATTCCTAAACTGTACATGTTTGGCAAATAGGTGGATTACGCTCTATCATTATTGTCAAAACGATCAAAAAAGACTCGGTGATGGGTGAGTAAATAAAAGGACTTGGGAATTTGTGAAATCATGGTCGTTAAACTTGTCTGTTACTTGGCCAAACTCCACAAATCATAATCTGATTCTAGCTTATTTTTTGATGAATTATAATCTAAAACAATCAACTTGCAAAACACCCAAAAGAAGACTACAATCCACAGAGATGACTTATAATTCACTTTGACCATTTGCCAGACATGCTCTAAAACTAAGTGATGTTAAAGTATATTTGTTATTCTAACCGCATTAACCAACCACATCTTCACCCTTCTACCTACGATATGGCAACTAGCAATTGGATCTATACAGGAATTCGGTATGGATATCAAAATTATCCATCTATCCATCTCTATCTTCTCCCATTAATTAAGCAAATCCAAACGTCATGCTTAATCAAAGCTTACCAAAGATAAGGGACACTCCTCGTAATTCCATCGCAAATCCATGCCCATTTCCAACCTCTCTCTCTTTCTCTTTCTCTTATATAATCACACACAATATCCACATAATAATTTACTAATAATCAATAAATAATTAATTAGCGCTGTCCCCCCCTCTCTTATTCCTCTCCGCTATTCTCTCTCCTCCCTTTGTTTCAAGTTTCAACTACAAAATCTCTCCTCGAACATAGAAAAAAAAACCCAAAAATTAAGTTGGGAAAAAAGAAAAAACTAATCCGCATCAAGGTTCGTGCACGATGGAGAAGGAGAAGGGGGTAAAGCTCTTCGGGGTTCGGATCGAGGCGTCGCCGGCGGCGGTGGAGGCGGAGGAGGAGGTTATGAGGAAGAGCTACAGTACCGGGAACCTGGCGTCGTGCACGGCGGCGGTCCGGAGCTCCGATCACGTCGCCGGCGATCATGGGTACTTGTCCGATGGCGGCCTCGTCCTCGAGAACTCGAGGTCGAAGGCTCGGCAGGAGAGGAAAAGAGGTGACTTTGATTCATGGGTTTTGTTACTCTGTTCAGAGTTCGTTTTTTTCCCCTCCTCTCCTTTAAAAGTTTAATAATTTGGGGTTACTGAATGATTTTGATTCGTGGGTTTGATTATTATTTCATAAAATAGCTTCGCTTCTTCCTATTAGAAATCCCTTTTTATTTCCTATGAAACGTGTCTCATGCATTTGTAAGTTTTGGTTGTTTATGTGTCTAGGTTTCCTATGTATTGTTTATTTTCAATTCTGCTTTGAGAAACAATGAGACTAATCAGAAGCACTTATTATCAGAGAAATGCTTTACTTGTTCACATTCATGATAGATACATGCATCGTTTTGTCATGGAAATGTATCACATGTATTTCTATGGATTGCGCATTTTCGTCAATATCGTACTGTCTAGTTAGCGAAGACAAAAATGACACTGACCAAGAACAATTATCAAAGATTGATTATAATTTGATAAACTTTATATTGTGTATCATTCAGGGGTGCCATGGACGGAGGAAGAACACAGAACATTTCTAGCTGGCCTTGAAAAGCTTGGTAAAGGAGATTGGAGAGGGATTTCAAGGAACTTTGTGACTACAAGAACTCCAACTCAAGTTGCAAGTCATGCTCAAAAGTACTTCCTCAGAAAAAGTAATCCAAACAAGAAGAAGAGGAGGTCAAGCCTCTTCGATGTTGGAATCAACGATAATGTAACCCTTCTGCTCACTCATTTACCCTCGTTTTCATTTAACCGTTCGATTATAACAAAACTGCTATGTTTACAGGATATCCCGAAGAAAGTTCATTTATTTGGCGACGGAACTAATTGTCAATCCAAGGACAATCACTTGGTAAATTCACACCTGAAAGAGAAAAAATTAACAAAAGATGTGCAATATCATTGGTTCTACATTGTGAGCTCGCTAAACTTATGTAATTGCCTCAAATTGCAGGTTAATTCGCCATCTCCCATTGCTACACCAGCATTATTACCCCGAGTCACTGAGCACGTGGTAATCTAACTAACCATATAAGATTATCATTGATATTCTCGTTGTTCAATTTAAATCGATGTTGAATGGTCATTTGCTTATTATTATTATTATTATTTTTGAGTTAAAGCAGGGTGCAAACTCCAGGGATCAAGCAAGCTCAAACTTTGGGCAAGATTTCCTCCAGCTCTCATCCGCAAATTCTCCTTCAGTAGATAACAGTGATCTTGAGCTCAGAATTTCCCCTCCTAATCAGTCTAATCTTCTAGCAGGAGCAATCAGGGTTATCTAAATTTTTTATTTGTGTTATTCATATTATTATTACACAAGTTTATGTATCTCAAACATGTTTGGTAATAAACTTGTGCCTTCTAATGAAGGGTATTGGTTTTGTTGAGCTCAAGAGAGCATAGTCAAGTGCTTGCTTGTGTTGTGTATCTATCATAACATCATCCCTTCACAAGCTAAGTTGGGACAATAATAGAGTAAGAGGATAGAATTTCCGTATTAAAATATGAAATTATAACCCTTAACTCTCATGGCAATTCTGGAGAAAATACTTCCATATGACATCAATTTAAGTATCTAGAAACATGTTAGAGAATAAAACTACAACAACGCGTCTTTAGATTTTTGACAAGTAGGATGATGTTTGCGTGGCTATCGTATCTCTTGGTTTTTGTTGGTTTCTTGGCTGTTGTCTTTGCTTTTGCTAGAGGATGACAATGTAGATAGATTTGGGTGAAGGAATGTGACCTTTGTGGTCCTTGTTTGGATTGAAGACCTGTGAGCAGTGAGCTGGTGAGATTATTACACTGTGTAGATGAAGGCTAAAACGTGGGGGAGGGGGAAGCCACCACTTCCCCCTAACTTTTGGAGTGATAACTACATGAACGACTAACAAAAATCTGTCCTCATGTGAGCCTCAGCTTTGTTCAGAGTATCTTGATCCAAAGTTAAAAAGTTTACCCTTCCTCCATTTTCTTTGTGATAGTTTGGGAAGGTTTGATCCATGTGGGTATTTTGTGAGTGGGTGAGAACGAAGTGATACCTTTTGGAAATGCATTGCTGTGACTGACAAAGAAAGTGAAGAGGATTGGTTTTTAGCCTTTCTATGTCCCTCAAGACGACAATAATATTATACTAATTTGACTGTTGTTTTCATACTATGTTTATATTACAAGACATAAAAGTTATGATGTGTTTCCCATGAATTTCCGTGGAAAATCACAAGTCTATAAGATTCCGAATTTCTCGTTTGCAGTATAATAATAAAAAAAAAAGAAGAGGGAAAATATCTTATATAACCATGTCGATATGGAGAAAAGTTGTGTATA